GGAAAATTTTAAAAGAAAAAAAAAGGAAAAAAAAACAAAATCCCCCCCATCAAATTTTTTGAACCCCCTTATGATTCATCATCCCCAAACTCAATCCCAGCCTTCCCTTTGTGGTATGGTACCTTGCAGTACAATTTCAGAGAGATCCATACACTTGAACACAAGTTATTGTCTGGAAACTAGAAAAATGTGTTTTTTGGCCCCTTTTTGGCCCCAAATTCCTAAACGTTTAGGACAATTACCCCCAAACTCAAACCCAGCTTTCCCTTTGTGATATGGAACCTTGTAGTACAATTTCAGAAAGATCCAAACACTTACACACAAGTTATTGTCCTGAAACTTGAAAAATGCTTGCTTTTTGCCCCTTTTGGCCCCTAATTCCTAAAATATTCAGGCAATTACCCCCATTATCAATCCCAGCCTTCCCTTTGTGGTATGGTACCTAGCAGTACAATTTCAGAGAGATCCATACACTTGAACACAAGTTATTGTCTGGAAACTAGAAAAATGTGTTTTTTGGCCCCTTTTTGGCCCCAATTCCTGAACGTTTCGGGCAATTACCCCCAAACTCAATTCCAGCTTTCCCTTTGTGATATGGAACCTTGTAGTACAATTTCAGAAATATCCAAACACTTACACACAAGTTATTGTCATGAAACTAGAAAAATGCTTGTTTTTTGCCCCTTTTTTGGCCCCTAATTCCTAAAATTTTGAGGCAATTACCCCCAAAATCAATTCCAGCCTTCCCTTTGTGATATGGAACCTTGTGGTACAATGTCAGAGAGATCCATACACTTACACACAAGTTGTTGTCTGGAAGTTACAAAAATGCTTATAGATATAAGAAGATGTGGTATGATTTCCAATGAGACAAATATCAACCAAAGTCCAATTGACATGGAGGTTACTAAACAGACTTAAACAATAAGCACACACCACACTGTATAGTCCGCAATAGAAGACCCGGACACAATAAACCCTTCAATAATCAATTCAAACGAGAAAAACCAACCGCCTAAATTTGTAACGACAAACACATGTGACAGATGAACCAACAACAAGCAACGCATTGCTTATTTCAACATGAAACAATGTTGTTGCAATATCAGGGTGAAGTTGTTTCAATGTTGAATTTCAACCTATATTCAATCAAAAATCAACGTTGATACAATGTTGAAAATATAACGTTGTTTCTAACGTCAGATATTCAACGTTGTGTCAACTTTCAAAACCAACCGTTAATTCAACGTCTTTTCAACGTTACAGATCAACGTTGATTCAACGTTGTTCCAACGTTGAAATGCCTGCTGGGTGCCTTTATTGCCATAATATTTTGATGAAAATACAATTATTCTACCTGTCTTCATATTTATGACAAGTTTATGACCCTCAACTAATTAACATTTACAGCAGGTGTAATAAGTTGTGATTACAGATAATCCGCTTATTGACATCGGATGGGTCATCAATCCGTTTATTAAACTTCATAATTGACCATTGTAATAATTTTTCTCATTAAATTCGGTCAGTCAGCATTTCAATTTCAATATTTCTCAAAAGATGACAATTTGCGTTGGATGTATCCGTATATCGTCTGTTGTTTATATGTCAAAGATTTTTTTTTAAATTGATCTTTTTAACTAGTTTTAATCCAGAAGAAAGTAAAAACAATGCTTGACCACATGTACCTTTCATTGAATATCTAAATCCAAATTAAATTAATTAAAGCTGTAATCCATGATCATATTCTGTGGATAAAAATATATCTGAGCTTGGAATCTGTCCAAAGAAGGGCCACTAAACTTGTAAAGAATATAAATCATTTAAGTTATGAAGATAGATTACGCTCATTGGGATTGCCAACCTTGGAATATCGTAGGGATAGAAATGATATGATACAAGTATATAAAGCGTTGCATGGTATAGATGATATAAACTGGATGAGCTTATTTACTTTAGCACCATCTAATAATACTAGAGGTCACTCATTAAAACTCTTTAAGAAACAGTGTAAGATGACACATAGACTAAATACTTTTTCAATTAGAGTATTGGGTCAGTGGAATAACCTGTCAGATTTAACAGTGACGGCAAAGACTTTGAATAATTTTAAGTCAGCATTAAATGGCGAGAATTGGAACCAGTATAAATTTATATGTTCATGTTAATTGTTAAGCTGCGCACACCTAAATAAGTATAATGTATATAAATATATTATTATGCGATTAATATGAGAGGAGAAATTGCATTACGACAATCCAAGATGAGGGGTCAGTAGAAGCCTTTGGCTTATTCTAAGGACAAGAAGATAAAAGGTATAAAAGGTATGATCACAAATTGACTGCTTTGTTTACATTTGTTGAAAGCCATGTGCTTTTTTGGCGGGAAAATTCGGAAAACCCCTTTAACAAGAAACAGTTACATTTCATTGTTATTTATAGACAGTAAGATTTTCATTTTGATTAACTGCTAAGATTATTTCATTAAAAATGAATACTTTCTTGGGGTGAAACTGATAATACTTTAATACTCTACATCTAGGGGTGTGTAAAAGGGGGGGGGGGGATTTTTTTATATATAATATTACAAATATAAGTTTAACAGTCTGAAAAGACATGGTTAAATGGATTTTAATTCTGAAAAACTCAATGTGGTTTATTATAATTCATTTATAAGAACATTCAAGACTATTAATAAGTATATACCTGTAGTAAAAATACCCTGGTAGGGCCTTAAAATTTCTACTGGGCCCTTGGAAAAAAGTTTTGGGATCCAGGTTGGCCCCTGGAGAAAATGTAAGGTATTGTTCCTGACTGTATTGCAGATCTAGTGTAGTATTTTAACTGACATGCACTATTCATTTCACTAATGAAATAAAAATAATTCTACAAAACACCGCTGCGCTCTGCATTGCAACTTAACCTTAGACCTACCATGCATCAAAAATGTTCTAGGGAAGACTGAGCTAGTAATATACGTCCTTGCATGGTCCCTTTAATACTGTTACCCAAAATAAGGTTGATTTTCATCTAGCGTAAAAGTGACTAAACCCCTTCAAAACTCCTAGCTGAAACCCCTGCAGTTAACATAAGATAATGTTTGACATGCCGTTTTTGAAATATCAATCATCGTGCTAAAGTGCCCTTTTTATGATTGGCTCCCTGCCCTTTTTAAATCCTAGCTGGAACACTGTATCAAATACTTATAAATTAAAAACTACCACTTTAAAATATCTACATGTATTCAGAACTGCTAACTGCCTAATACTTTCATATATTCAATACTAGTAACTATCAAAACCATATTCAATACTTGGTTCACATATCTATTGTACATTGATACACTGGAAAAGCTTTTTTGTACAAACCAACTATCAATAACTTACACATATTCAATACTACCAACTATCAATAACTTACACATATTCAATACTACCAACTATCAATAACTTACACATATTCAATACTACCAAGTATCAAAAAATTACACATATTTTATACTGCCAACTATCAATAACTTACACATATTCAATACTGCCAACTATCTATAACTTACACATATTCTATACTGCCAACTATCAAAAACTAACACATATTCAATACCGCCAACTATCTATAACTTACACATATTCTATACTGCCAACTATCTATAACTTACACATATTCAATACTGCCAACTATCAATAACTTACACATATTCAATACTGCTAACTATCAATAACTTACACATATTCAATACTGCCAACTATCTATAACTTACACATATTCAATACTGCCAACTATCAATAACTAACACATATTCAATACTGCCAACTATCAATAACTTACACATATTCTACAGTAATAACTATCAATAACTTACACATATTCAATACTACTGACTATCAATAACTTACACATATTCAATACTGCTAACTATCAACAACTTACACATATTCAATACTGCCAACTATCTATAACTTACACATATTTTATACTGACAACTATCTATAACTTACACATATTCTATAGTAATAACTATCTTTAATTTACACATATTCAATACTGCCAACTATCAATAACTTACACATATTCTATAGTAATAACTATCAATAACTTACGCATATTCAATACTACTGACTATCAATAACTTACACACATTCTATACTGCCAACTATCTATAACTTACACATATTCAATACTGCCAACTATCAATAACTTACACATATTCCATCCTGCTAATTATCAATAACTTACACATATTCAATACTGCCAACTATCTATAACTTACACATATTCAATACTGCCAACTATCAATAACTAACATATATTCAATACTGCCAACTATCAATAACTTACACATATTCTATAGTAATAACTATCAATAACTTACACATATTCAATACTACTGACTATCAATAACTTACACATATTCAATACTGCTAACTATCAACAACTTACACATATTCAATACTGCCAACTATCTATAACTTACACATATTCTATACTGCCAACTATCAATAACTGACACATATCAATAACTTACACATATTCAATACTGCTAACTATCAACAACTTACACATATTCAATACTGCCAACTATCTATAACTTACACATATTCTATACTGCCAACTATCAATAACTGACACATATTCAATACTGCCAACTATCAATAACTTACACATATTCAATACTGCCAACCATCAATAACTTACACATATTCTATACTGCCAACTATCAATAACTTACACATATTCTATAGTAATAACTATCAATAACTTACACATATTCAATACTACTGACTATCAATAACTTACACATATTCTATACTGCCAACTATCTATAACTTACATATATTCAATACTACCGACTATCAATAACTTACACATTTTCTATATTGCCAACTATCTATAACTTACACATATTCAATACTACCAACTATCAATAACATACACATATTCAATACTGCCAACTATCAATTACTTACACATTTTCTATAGTACTAACTATCAATAACTTACACATATTCAATACTGCTTAATGTTAAGAAATTATCTGGAACCCACTCTATATCATTCTGAATCAGTGATCTGAAATTTTAAAAACATTATACATTTCTTTAGATATAGGATGTACTTATGGGATAAGATAGAGTATTTGCAGTAATATTGGTGAATATTTTTCTGATTATGTTTTATTTCACCAGCTTGCCAGTGCAGTATTTATTTTAAGACATTTCTAAAAGTGCATTAAACATGATGCTCCATCTTACTAGCAAATTTCTTTATGTTTCAGACAAAAATCCATACTCCTTGAGAATTGCTATTCAAGGAAATTTCATATTCCCAAACCCAAAAATGGAATTGTTCAAGAAATCTTATGTATTCAGGATCATCCTTGCGGAATAATTTGCCAAAATCATTACGAAATATAACAGATGTTTATTCTTTCAAATACAAATTAACAGATCATTTATTGAAATCAACCAATTAGATTTAATATAAAATATCAATTATTTTTTATATAGTGATTATTTTTCTTGATTATTTAAACTGCAATTTACCAGGTATGCAGTTGTATTGATCATAACACTTGACTTTCATGCTAATGTATGCCATATATTTCATTGCTTGCATTGTGCATTTCAACATGTTTTTTGTTCCTGCTTTTCTATGATGAGGGCCTCAGGGACGAATTTTTAAGTTATAAAGCTAACTGTGCAACCCTCTTAAAATAAAGTATTGTTGTTGTTGTTGTTGTTAAGAGGGATGATGGTCATTTATGTTTACACAATAACCCTTTTATTGAATAACAATTCAAGCTTGAATAAAATGCTCCGCAGGGCGCAGCTTGATACGACCGCAGAGGTCGAACCCTGAACAGTTGGGGCAAGTATAAACAAAACATTCAAGCTTGATATAGCTCTGAATTTGGATTGTGATTAAATATTTGACACAGCATAGGTTTCTGACACAGAATGAATGTGGTCTAAGAACTTAATAATTTTTAATTGGACATTCACCTATTATGGTCCAATATCCAAAATCTAAATACATGGTTAGATTCAGCATATCAAAAAACCCTAAGAATTCAATTTTTGTTAAAATCAAACTAAGTTAAATTTTGGACCCTTTTGACCTCAATGTGGACAAAGTTGATAACGGGGCCCAAAAATCAAAAATCTAAAAACATGGTTAGAATCAGCATATCAAAGAACCCCATATATTCAATTTTTGTTGAAATCAAACAAAGTTTAATTTTGGACCCCGATTTGGACCAACTTGAAAACTGGGCCCATAATCAAAAATCTAAATACATGTTTAGATTCAGCATATCAAAGAACCCTAAAAATTCAATTTTTGTTAAAATCAAACTAAGTTTAATTTTGGACCCTTTGGACCTTAATGTAGACCAATTTGAAAACGGAACCAAAAATTAAGAATCTAAATACAGGTTAGATTCAGCATATCAAAGAACCCCAATAATTCAATTTTTGATGAAATCAAACTTAAGTTAAATTTTGAACCCTTTGGACCTCAATGTGGACCAATTTAAAAACAGGGCCCAAAATCCAAAAACTTAATACAGAGTTAGATTCAGCATATTAAAGAACCCCAAGAATTCAAGAATAAAACCCCATTGAAATTGATCAAGAAATAAGCAATTAATACACAGTATCTTCTTTTGCACAATACTGTGCAATTGAATATTTCTTGCTATTGCGCAATACTGTACAATTGACAATTTCTTGCTATTGCACAATATTGTGCTATTGGATATTTCTTGCTATTGCGCAATACTGTGCAATTGAAGATTTCTTGCTATTGCGCAATACTGTACAATTGACAATTTCTTGCTATTGCGCAATATTGTGCTATTGGATATTTCTTGCTATTGCGCAATACTGTGCAATTGAAGATTTCTTGCTATTGCGTAATACTGTGCAATTGAAGATTTCTTGCTATTGTGCAATACTGTGCAATTGAAAATTTCTTGCTATTGCACAATACTTATTATATAATAATTTACACATCCTGTTTGGTGTGTATCTCCTACCATATCATTATTATTTGCTTTTAAATATAAATCAGAAATAACCAACTTAAAATGGAAAATTTTAAAAGAAAAAAAAAAGGAAAAAGAGAAAAGAAAAAAAATCCCCCCCCAAATTTTTTGAACCCCCTTATGATTCATCACCCCCAAACTCAATCCCAGCCTTCCCTTTGTGGTATGGTACCTTGCAGTACTATTTCAGAGAGATCCATACACTTGAACACAAGTTATTGTCTGGAAACTAGAAAAATGTGTTTTTTGGCCCCTTTTTGGCCCCCAATTCCTAAACGTTTCGGGCAATTACCCCCAAACTCAATTCCATCTTTCCCTTTGTGATATGGAACCTTGTAGTACAATTTCAGAAATATCCAAACACTTACACACAAGTAATTGTCATGAAACTAGAAAAATGCTTGTTTTTTGCCCCTTTTTTGGCCCCTAATTCCTAAAATTTTGAGGCAATTACCCCCAAAATCAATTACAGCCTTCCCTTTGTGATATGGAACCTTGTGGTACAATGTCAGAGAGATCCATACACTTACACACAAGTTATTGTCTGGAAGTTACAAAAATGCTTATTTTTGGCCCCTTTTTGCTTAACCATAACCCCCAAAATCAATCCAAACCTTCCTTTCGTGGTATTGAACCTTATGGTAAAATTTCATGGAGATCCATTCACTTAAACTAAAGTAAGAGTGCAAAAACCAATGTGTCTTCGGACGACGCCAGACGACGCCAGACGACGACGCCAGACGACGACGACGACGCCAACGTCATACCAATAAACGACCAAAAAATTTTTAATTTTTGCGGTCGGCGAAAAAATGTTGAAAATCTATTTCCGCCATTCCTTGATTATTGTAAACTATTGTTTTTGAATAGAGTTATTTTGTAACTATAGTTGATTTGTTTGATTTTTTTTTTTTTAACAGATCTTAAACTGGACAAGCATTGCAGATGCCATTCATTTTTGCTTTTTTACAAATCTATTAATTGAAGGGCAAATATAATTCATTATTAACCAAGTCTTTCAAGAAAGATGTGTGTAATCTGAAGTCTTCAAATAATAAAAGCCCTACTAATAAAAGAAATTCTATGGATTCTAATCAGGGCCACTAATAACTCTTTGTTTTCCATCATATCATATTTTATTTCAATAGATTGATGATGTTCTTATTATAACCTCAAGAACGATTGGGTATCCTAAAGTGTACGTCCCTGTATTAAATTAGCAAGATCTGACCATCACAATTATCCTGTCTTCATTATTTCTTTTAATTATTCAAGGAGATGTGCATCAATCATATATGTAGCTAAGAGAGGGCTTGGCCCCATTCCTATATGTAGCTAAGAGAGGACTTTGCTGCATTCCTAAATGCTTATCTGATTAGCACATGTAATAATTAACAGCTGCCCCATGAGCGCATGATACGCCCATCACTTTTTAAAAGCATAAAGTTCAATAACTTCTCAATGTCATATCAGAAATTCATGAAAAATAAAGGAAGGTTATCTTAATAGATATAAACCAGTAACCAAAGTTTCATGATAACTGCTCAAAGTATTGTCAGAAAACTGGAAAATCCCCCTTTTTTTATGAATAAAATCACATAACTTTGAAACTTAAATTCTAAAATTTATAAAAATCAAAAGGGAACTTATGTCAATAGATATAAACAAATCACCAAAGTTTCTTGCAAATTGTTGAAAGTGTTTTTGAGTTATTGTCCGACATGTTGATGACAGACGGACGTAAAGACAGACAACTGTAAGCGGGTGTATAGATATAAACTATAACAGAAACATGACATACATTTAGAAAAAGAGCTTAATACAATACTGTGGATTCATTTATTTTTGGTGGGTTGAGGATTGCCTGTATTTTGTGGATATATGATTTCCCGGTTTGTCAAAGTCTGCAAACAAACTTATATAAAATTTGCAATGCTTTGAACATTTAAATATGAGGTTCTACTGTACCTATGCATTTATCTTTTAACAGTGTCTTTTTAGCACTAACAATGTTTGTTCAAATTATTCTTTATTTTTTCACTGATGAATTATTTAAACTGAAATTGAGAGAACTAGAGGTTTTAGAGAAAATAACCCAATTCGTAGACCATTATCCATCTGTGTCTTATACGCTTTCACACATGATCAGTTGACATACTGCCCACGTAATTTATAAACTATTTGTTACAACACTTGCCCAGACATCTTCTAGTTATCCAAATTGCACCTATTTTGCCCCAAAAAGCAACAGAAATTATAGATTTCATTATTTGTAATTATGCAGGTCTTTCAAAATAGCTAATTAAATATACATGTATTGGCTTGCTTCCGCTAACCCATTAAATACGATACCTAGCTGTGACGTCACATGTCACAAAATATAATGCATTTAATGTCTGAGGTCACGCAATATATACCTTACAGTGAAGAACTATGGTTTGTGAAACTGCTGTTTTTACAAAGTGCAACCTAAAAGGCAAAAATTAAAAAAAGTTGGTAACATTTGTCATTCAAGGACAATAACTCCTTAAAAAGTGGTCTGACAGTTTAGATAATCAAAGTGGTGGAAAGCACTCATGTCAAAAAATTAATCTTAAAAGGTTGTTTAGGAGCAACTCTAATACCCCATTCACATTATGCCTTTTTAAACTGGGTTCGACCGGAATTAGTTAATCCCGGTTAAATTTAGGTAGTGTGAACGCCTTAACCCGGGGTGAACTCAGATTAAAATTACCCCTCAACTGAGGTGGAGTTAATGTGGGGCAAACCCGGGTTAACTACCTCACTTCTAAATGTGAATGCAAAGTGAAGTTAATGTGAGGTTGTTGCTATAGTTACGTTTGCTTAAATAAGTCTTCAATGTGACGTACCTATTCCGTGACGTCATTATCATACATATCGAATGACATCACATTTTGACAGACGTCCAGTTACCGTGTTTACTGGGTCATGAATTATGTAACCCATATTAGCAAGAGGGATATAAGTGTTTTAGTCTATGTTGAAAAACCTGCATAATGACAAACGATGAAACCTATTCATTTCCGTTGCTAGTAAGGGCGAAAAATGGGTGCAATTTCATTTTGGATAAAGTGACGTTACTTGTAGACACGGAAAGTGGTTGATGGTGATCCAACTCCTCCAAAGAGGCCAGGAGTGCCGTAAAAAATATCAGACTTTCAAATAATGCATCTTTGATGATACAAAAATGTAAATATGTACAGTGGAAAGATGCGGGTTACAATTTTGGCGCTAACATTTCTATTTTTGTTGAGAGGGAAAATCCCAAACCGGGTTAATTTTTTATCAAGTGTGAACTGGGGTAACTAATTCCGGTTAATTAACCTGAGTTCAACCCGGAGCAGATTTTATAGTGTGAACACGGTATAAGATGACCTACCCATTCCCAAGGTTCCTTATAATTGGCAGAACACTCTTCAAAACAACATATTACTTTTACATATAAGACTTACAATCTCTTCAGGGTTGATGGCCAAATTGGATTTGTATGGTTGTGTTGGAAAAACTTTATCTGGTTGTCACAAAGCATCCTAAAAACATACATTAAAATAATTAATACAACAGAAACGTCCATTGTCTGTTCAGGTCCAGCTGATCTATGTCAGACAAAAATGTGGTCTTATAAGGTCAATTTTCCTACAAAATCAAACAGATTTATGTTTAACAGTGATGGCTGGTGTTCTAATATGTCAAGGTCAAGCTGGTATATAACATGTTTAACAAGAGGTTATCAAATTAACAGCAAACTGGGCTTGTATTACATTAATTTGTGTCATTGTTCAAACAATGAAGGGCAATAACTCCTAAACAGCAAAAGTAAAAATCACCAATTAACAATTTAGTTCATAAGTAACAAAAATTGAAATGTTAAAAGTATTGGTTAAATGGTTCTGAATTACAAAGAAACAACAGCAACTACCTGCCATGGCCTGAATGCTTAGTCAGGGGAGATAAACATAACATATTACAAAGAAACAACATTAACAACCTGCATGTCCATGACCTGAATCCTCAGTCAGGGGAGATAAATATAATATATTACAAAGAAACAACAGTAACTACCTGCCATGGCCTGAATGCTTAGTCAGGGGAGATAAACATAATATATTACAAAGAAACAACAGTAACTACCTGTCATGGCTTGAATGCTTAGTCAGGGGAGATAAACATAATATATTACAAAGAAACAACAGTAACTACCTGTCATGGCTTGAATGCTTAGTCAGGGGAGATAAACATAATATATTACAAAGAAACAACAGTAACCACCTGTATGTCCATGGCCTGAATGCTTAGTCAGGGGAGATTAACATAATATATTACATAGAAACAACAGTAACTACCTGCCATGGCCTGAATGCTTAGTCAGGGGAGATAAACATAATATATTACAAAGAAACAACAGTAACTACCTGTCATGGCTTGAATGCTTAGTCAGGGGAGATAAACATAATATATTACAAAGAAACAACAGTAACTACCTGTCATGGCTTGAATGCTTAGTCAGGGGAGATAAACATAATATATTACAAAGAAACAACAGTAACCACCTGTATGTCCATGGCCTGAATGCTTAGTCAGGGGAGATTAACATAATATATTACATAGAAACAACAGTAACTACCTGTATGTCCATGGCCTGAATCCTTAGTCAGGGGAGATAAACATAATATATTACATAGGACACTGGTTCTCCGGTAAAGCGCCCAACGTCCGAGTAAAAAATGATAAAATATAAATTGCAGCAAAACTTGTAAATAAAGAACATGGAACATCCTCATAGTATATTCTATCCACCATATAAATTTCAGCATGTAATATGCTATTGTTAATTTGTAATGATCGAGACAGTTTAGATGAAAAAATGTCAAAAAAATACATTTAACGTCATTTTATTTGCTTTGACGTCGTTATGATAGCGCGATTTTCAATACCAAAAATGCTAAAAACTTTGAAATCATTATTTTTACGGTGTTTTGTTATCTTTATTAATTCTCAAAATGTGCGTTTTTCTTGTGAGTTGAAATTAACACAAATTAATGTGATACATTTTCCTGTGGACTGTTTCCTTGTGAACTAGTACGCCAAAAAAATTGACTCAGCGTGTTGGTCTTGTACAAAGCAGAATAAATATTAATATCGTATTAACATGCTTTCGACCCGAATATGCATATAATTCGCCGCTGAATGCTCCTCCTCCTCCTCCCCCTCCTCCTCCTCCTCCACCTCACCATCATCATCATCATCATCATGTAGTTTGCCAATCTGTGTTACCATGAATTATCATTGATATGGTCATATTTATAAATACTTTCAAAATGCACAAGAATGGCGTATAATGCATTTATATCATTATATCCCTTGCTTTGAATAGTTTTATTAACTAAGAATTTTCTTTTGTAGACAAAACACAACCCTTGAATCTTTGATAGGTTACTTCCTATGATATTCAATAATACTTTTGTCCTTGGTATCAGAAATTTGAAATTTTAATATAGGAGAGTGACGAGACGTGTTTATATCAGATCAAAGGATTAAACGAATCACTTTTTTGATAATGTTTAAAGTTATTTTAATACTGCAATTTTAGAGGAGAAATGATTGATTGATTGTTATTTTCTGAACGTACAGTGGCAAATATTTCAAGCAGAATTATGACCGAGAGAAGAATTTTCAAACAATAAATAAGATGTTGCATGCGTTGTCGTTAAAAAAGAATTTAAAAAAAAACCAACTCCAATAAAAATAAACAAAACCATAACGAGAGAGAGAGAGACGACAAAAACAAAAACAAACAGCTAAAAATAAAATATAAAAACATTTTCCATAGAATTTTTATTCATAGTAATCAACCCTCTTTGTTGGTTGGTTGTAGCATATTAATCTCACTGACTTTACTTGAAAAGAGACCACTAAAAACGACCAACTAAACAGCGTCTCCTTGTAGATACACTTATACTAGTAGTATTATGATGTGATTTGTTTTTTGGTGTTTTAACGCCACTTTTAAGCACCGCTTTTGGGCTATTTCGTGGTGGCCAGTTTTTATTGGTGGAGGAAGCCGGAGTGCCCGGAGAAAACCACCGACCTTCGATAGTAAAACTGACAATCATAGTCAATTAAGATTGGAGTCGAGTGCACCCGCACGAGCGTGGCTATTGATTACAGTAGTAACTACTTAGACCACTCGGCCAATATTATGTATCCTATTCCGCTTGAATATATGATATCTATTTGAAATAACACAAGATATATGAGGTGGTTTATAGAATAGAAAATAATGTCCCCCCTCCCCCCTAAAAAAATAAAGAATGAAGGAAAATAGACAATCAAATAAAGAATAGAAAATAATTGGGTGTCAAAAAATAATTGTATAAAAATTAGGAATAAGGTAAAAAAAAATACTGATTTCAGAAATAAATAATTTACAGAATAATGAAACTTTGCGTTTTCTGCATATCAAATTTATTATTGATAATTGACAATAGACATATAGATCATTTGGAGTGAAATGTTGAACTGGTTGTAATCGGAACTGGTTTATTGGAATTAGCGATGCAAATAATATACATTCATAAGCATCGGTATTTTCTCCAAAATCATGATCTATCACGAATTAACGTATCATTTTGTTCCGAAGCGCTATTTTAGATTTATCTTCATCATTTACGCCCAGCGCCGAATATTTGAAAGCCAAGGATGTAAAAGAACAGAAAGAGTTAATGAGCTATATGACCAAAACGGACATAAAAAAAAATATAGCCAAATCAGTCGAAGATTAACTTTGCCCGATGGAGTTGAAACCTTAGTTTCTTTATAATTTCAAACTTTATCAATTGATAATTAAAGGGAATTGAAAGGAATTGCAGAATCAAAACGGCTTTTTCATCAACATAATTCCTACATCTTCAGTTTCATATTTGTAAGATCCATAACTCATTATAATTAAAACAAAAACAATTTATTGGTAAGGGTTGGAAGACTGATGCTTGAGGACGGATGACATTGTCTTAGATTTTTTTGGAGTATTTTTAGTACCAATAAATTTCAGATTTCTCTCAATGTCGGTTAACTATCGGTACTGTCTCTGTTATAAAACTGAATGTTCAGCTTCTCAGTACTAGTACTTCATATGACAAACCAAATATGATCAAATATACCTCATGTCATCTTAACTTCTGTTTATTATCCCAGATATCCAAATTATCAAGAAGAAATTAAAATGGTCTTTTTCTCCCCCGTTTGGTTTTAATCAGATATTCAGATATTAATAAAAATTGATAAATGGTATCATTTGTGCAGTACAGTGACAGATTAAAAAAAGGGGGGTTGGGGTACGGGAAAGTGTTGTCATACCTATGTCGTAGATACAGACAAGAAGATTTATCATGTCAATATGATGATACAACAGGAAATTTTCATATGCAGGATCTGAACACAAGAATTTTACAGAATAATCATATTTCTTACTGAATAGAGAAAAATGGCCTAAAGAATTACAGAATACAGAAATGTAGACCCCCCTCCCATAATCCAGAGCGTCATATATATTATATTATGACGGATAGTTTTGTTGATCTATTTAACTGTTTTAATTTTCGAAAAGAATATTTGTACAAGGTGTTGTTAATAAATGTAACGGACAATATATTCCATGCCCTCTCAGACGACGTCGTAATTTCATTTAAATGAAAGAATTTATTTAAAAGCTTGTTTCCCTGTGGAACATGATATAAAACTCATTAGGCAGAGCAATTTTAATGGCTACTTGCATAATTGTTAAATCGTATTAAATTCGGTATCAAATTTATATTAATACTAAACGTTACATATCTTGAATATTGAAAACAGGTTAAAATTATTTACTTGCATTAATATTGGTATTTATCATAATTTATATTTAGTAGTAAACACAGAAGTTTTGAATATTTGATAAATAGCCTGCTGTTTAATACGTATCCCTCAACTATGATGCGCACCCATTATCACACCCCTTTATCGCATGTCTACCCTTTACCGCACCCCTATTCGGATTTCTCATTTATGACAGTAGTGATTCCAATTAAATTTACATGAAGTCCGATGTTTGTTAAACTAGATTTTTATATTTCAAAGTGCACATTTTACTCTCCAGTCTCAAAGTAGTCTCTTGTTTATTACAGTATACTTGTTATTAAATTATTGGTTTAATTATTGTTATTAAATTATTGGTTTAATTATTGTAGCTATTTTTTTATTAACAGGTTTTATTCAGAATGTGTTTTAGATAGTACAACATTACTAAAGGAGGATAAAAAGAACTGAATGAACTACTATACAAAACACAAACAAACAAAAAATACAATAAGCAAAATATTTCAATGGACAACAGGACCTAAATTGTAAGGTAACCCAATAAGCAGTTCTTATATATGATAAAACTTTTAAAACACGGCAAAAATAAATAAATCTGAAGATAACCAAGGTGCTTTAGATCAGTAAGCAGTTCTTATATAATTATCTAATATGTTTATTTGGCATGCCATACTCGATAGAAGTGCGGACGTGATAGAAAGTACTCTTTACCAAAACGTCAACGGAGATTACATTCCACGGAGGTTATATTTTGATGATTTCGTCATTTATAAAACCTAATACATGTATCTGAAGATAGAAGATGTAATAAAAATAAATGTTGACACCGATATCGATCTGTTGGATGTAAAATTTATTTTCAAAATAGGTGTTTGTTTAGAATAGACCATTCCACGGAGATTACATGCTTAACAAATCTCTGCAGTTTTCAACTTTGTTTAGTTTTTCACACTGATATGATTTGGAATAAATGACCATAGTTATAAACAAAATTATTTATGGTAACCTTATAATCAAATTTAACTCATATCACACTCTATGTTGTGCTGAATATTTTTCAGCTTGTTCTTTTTTTCCATTAACGGAAATTACAGGTTTATGAAAAAAATATTTTGACGGCCGTACCGATCACTATCGTTGTGAAACATGTACTAAACTTTATAAAAATAAAAAATATAGATTATAAAGAAATATAAAAATCTCAGATATAAGTATTAGAAGCTACGGTTATATATAACTCGAAGTCATTAGTTTTGCTTTCTTACGGTGGGACAAATTAACGTCATAAAATGGGCGCTTTAACGGAGAACCAGTGAGAAACAACAGTAACCACCTGTATGTCCATGGCCTGAATGCTTAGTCAGGGGAGATAAACATAATATATTACAAAGAAACAACAGTAACTACCTGCCATGGCCTGAATCCTCAGTAAGGGGAGATAAATATAATATATTACAAAGTAACAACAGTAACCACCTGCCATGGCTTGAATGCTTAGTCAGGGGAGATAAACATACAATATTACATAGAAACAACAGTAACCACCTGTATGTCCATGGCCTGAATCCTTAGTCAGGGGAGATAAACATAATATATTACAAAGAAACAACAGTAACTACCTGTCATGGCTTGAATGCTTAGTCAGGGGAGATAAACATAATATATTACAAAGAAATAACAGTAACCACCTGTATGTCCATGGCCTGAATGCTTAGTCAGGGGAGATTAACATAATATATTACATAGAAACAACAGTGACTATCTGTATGTCCATGGCCTGAATGCTTAGTCAGGGGAGATAAACATAATATATTACAAAGAAACAACAGTAACCACCTGTATGTCCATGGCCTGAATCCTTAGTCAGGGGAGATAAACATAATATATTACATAGAAACAACAGTAACCACCTGTATGTCCATGGCCTGAATGCTTAGTCAGGGGAGATAAACATAATATATTACAAAGAAACAACAGTAACTACCTGTCATGGCCTGAATCCTCAGTAAGGGGAGATAAATATAATATATTACAAAGTAACAACAGTAACCACCTGCCATGGCTTGAATGCTTAGTCAGGGGAGATAAACTTACTATATTACATAGAAACAACAGTAACTACCTGTAGGTTACAATACACCATTAGATTGTATGGGCGCAGCCATTTTATGAGCATAACATGGTATTCAGAATTAAGAGTATGGCTAATCCTGATTGGTTGATATGTGCGCCCGTTATTTTTTATTATGAGAGACTTCGTGCATTCTGCATTATATCAAAGGCCAAACAAATTATTTTCCTTAGCCCTAACGAAAATGAGATGTCTTTTTAACGCTAGGACGAGACACGTATTTTTAAGTGCAAAATTGATAGGCATGGGAGATAAGTACAAAATACGTTAAGAAAAGCAACGCGAACCTATATTTTTTGGACCAAAAAATACTGTCCGAATAACTTTTCTGTAATTCTAGCAAGGTTTCGTTAAAAAAATCAACTTTCTAAAGTCTGTATCTCAAAAAAGGCTATCATTGTCGCCTATGGGGAAATTAATTGTTTATTTCAATCTGTATGTCCATGGCCTGAATGCTTAATCAGGGGAGATAAACATAATATATTACAAAGAAACAACAGTTACTACCTGCCATGGTCTGAATGCTTAGTCAGGGGAGATAAACATACTATATTAAATAGAAACAACAGTAACCACCTGTATGTCCATGGCCTGAATGCTTAGTCAGGGGAGATAAACATAATATATTACAAAAAAACAACAGTAACTATCTGCCATGGCCTTAGTCAGGGGAGATAAACATAATGCATACTTTATTCATTCAAAGTTTATGACAGTATGAGAAAATAAAATCTTAAAAATGCAAACATGTTAGTTGTTAATATAAATTCTATAGACATACCCTAAAAAGCTTTTGAAGCTGAGCATGGGTTTCTGAGCAAGATTGAACTATCTTATACCAGTTTATCTCATTGCCTGTTAAGATTAAACTTACATTTTCTCCATCTGAGTTGTAGATATATCAGGGAACTGAATCAGGCTTGTGGAATGAATAGTCCTGTTAATTAAAAACATACATTCATTCAAGACTGTTGGAATTATAACAGAAATATTCTTTCTTTCTTTCTACCACTTTATGGAATGTGATATATAAAATTCTCCTCTGAAGACTTACATTTCTAATATAAAATTGAAAAGGTATTAGTTTTAAATGGAGATATGTTATATAGGACGTCATAAAGTGATTAAATCTATTTCTCTAAAGTTTTTAGCTGATATGTTGGCAAACATAATCCTTCTCTTATAATGATCTTCAAAAATGTTCCTCTTTTTTAATGACATTACAATCAGCAAATCAGAGGAGACAAGAAAGTTTGACTTCATAACTAGTCTTTTAAATGAAGAATTGAGATCAAGTGAATGTAACCTATTGACTATTAAAGAAATAATCAGTTCTTCAGTAAAATTATAATCAGTTAAGATTAAAAGAAGAATGGGGTCAATTACTTTTAAAAGTAATTAATTACATTCAATTACAATAACAAACTCTTCAGTTGAATTACACATTACATTTGACCTTTTTTACCAATGTAATTAATTACTTTCCAATTACTTGACAAATGTAATTAATTACTTCAATTACATTTGAAAGGATAATTTAGATAAAATATTGAAGACATCCATTTCTCCTATGAAATGTACATAATTATCATCCATTGCTATATAGTAATAACAAATAATATCTTCAGTGACTGTTTTCCAATTCAGTCAGTATCAAAGATGAGCAAAACTTAAGTATCTTGATTGATTAAATGGTCAAAATGATAAAAAGCCTTATTCAATATTTTGAAAACATTAAATTTTGTAGTTATTACCTATTGAAATTTTATATTTTAATGTATTTCATTGAAAATGGTACAAAAAGAGAGCCCTTAGTTTTATATGACCGCAAAAAATTTTTTTTGCGATCGTATATTGGTATCATGTCGTCGTCGTCGTCGTCATCGTCCGAAGACATTTGGTTTTCCAAAATAACTTTAGTATAAGTAAATAGAAATATATGAAATTTAAACACAAGGTTTATGACCACAAAAGGAAGGTTGGGATTGATTTTGGTAGTTTTGGTCCCAATAGTTTAGGAATTAGGGGCCAAAAAAGGGCCCAAATAAGCTTTTTTCTTGGTTTTCGCACAATAACTTTAGTATAAGTAAATAGAAATCTATGAAATTGAAACACAAGGTTAATGACCACAAAAGGAAGGTTGGGATTGATTTAAGCAGTTTTAGTCCCAACAGTTTAGGAATTAGGGGCCAAAAGGGGCCAAAATTAAACTTTGTTTGATTTCATCAAAAATTGAATTATTGGGGTTCTTTGATATGCCGAATCTAACCGTGTATTAAGATTCTTAATTTTTGGTCCCGTTTTCAAATTGGTCTACATTAAGGTCCAAAGGGTCCAAAATTAAACTTAGTTTGATTTTAACAAAAATTGAATTCTTGGGGTTCTTTGATATGCTGAATCTGAACATGTACTTAGATTTTTTATTATCGGCCCAGTTTTCAAGTTGGTCAAAATCAGGGTCCAAAATTAAACTTTGTTTGATTTCATCAAAAATTGAGTATATGCGGTCCTTTGATATGCTGAATCTAACCATGTATTTAGATTTTTGATATTTGGGCCCTGTTATCAAATTGCTCCACATTGAGGTCTAAAGGGTCCAAAATTGAACTTTATTTGATTTCATCAAAAATTGAATTTTTGGGGTTCTTTGATATGCTGAATCTAACCATGTATTTAGATTTTGGATATTGGACCATAAAAGGTAAATGTCCAATTTAAAATTTTTAAGTTCTTAGACCACATTAATTCTGTGTCAGAAACCTATGCTGTGTCAACTATTTAATCACAATCCAAATTCAGAGCTGTATCAAGCTTGAATGTTGTGTCCATACTTGCCCCAACTGTTCAGGGTTTCGACCTCTGCGGTCACATTCATTCTGTGTCAGTAAAAATTTATTAAAATAAAACAAATAGCAAGAGGTTATATTTATAAGATCCAATATTTAAATGTAATTGAGATGTAATTGAAATATAATTGTCAATTACTCACAATTTTGGCTATGTAATTCATTACTTTCAATTACTTGTAATTGAAAAAATGTTAAATTAGACATTACATTCAATTACTTGAGAAATTGTAATTAATTACGGTCAATTACAATTACATATTTCAATTACCCCATGTCTGGTCTGCACCCTTACTGACTTCTGGTGAACTGTTGCAGCAGATTTTTAATTTGTCTTAGGTGATCTCATATAAATATACTTACAAACTTTGTAAATTGGTTTTAGGTGATCTAATACAAATATACTTACAAACTTTGTAAATTGGTTTTAGGTGATCTCATACAAATATACTTACAAACTTTGTAAATTGGTTTTGGGTGATCTCATACAAATATACTTACAAACTTTGTAAATTGGTTTTAGGTGATCTCATACAAATATACTTACAAACTTTGTAAATTGGTTTTAGGTGATCTCATACAAATATACTTACAAACTTTGTAAATTTGTCTTAGGTGATCTCATACAAATATACTTACAAACTTTGTAAATTGGTTTTAGATGATCTTATACTAATATACTTACAAACTTTGTAAATTGGTTTTAGGTGATCTCACACAAATATACTTACAAACTTTATAAATTGGTTTTGGGTAATCTCATACAAATATACTTACAAACTTTGTAAATTGGTTTTAGGTGATCTCATACAAATATACTTACAAACTTTGTAAATTGGTTTTAGGTGATCTCATACAAATATACTTACAAACTTTGTAAATTGGTTTTAGGTGATCTAGTACAAATATACTTACAAACTTTGCAAATTGGTTTTATGTGATCTCATACAAATATACTTACAAACTTTGTAAATTTGTTTTAGGTGATCTCATACAAATATACTTACAAACTTTGTAAATTGGTTTTAGGTGATCTCATACAAATATACTTACAAATTTTGTAAATTGGATTTAGGTGATCTCGTACAAATGTACTAACAAACTTTGTAAATTGGTTTTAGGTGATCTCGTACAAATATACTTACAAACTTTGTAAATTGGTTTTATGTGATCTCATACAAATAAACTTACAAACTTTGTAAATTTGTTTTAGGTGATCTCATACAAATATTCTTATAAACTTTGTAAATTTGTTTTAGGTGATCTCATACAAATATACTTACAAACTTTGTAAATTGGTTTTAGGTGATCTCATACAAATATACTTACAAATTTTGTAAATTGGATTTAGGTGATCTCATACAAATGTACTTACAAACTTTGTAAATTGGTTTTAGGTGATCTTGTACAAATATACTTACAAACTTTGTAAATTGGTTTTATGTGATCTCATACAAATAAACTTACAAACTTTGTAAATCTGTTTTAGGTGATCTCATACAAATATTCTTACAAACTTTGTAAATTTGTTTTAGGTGATCTAGATCTCATACAAATATACTTACAAACTTTGTAAATTAGTCAAGTGATCAAATGTAGCATTCCCAAAATATTTGAAGTTTGGCATATCTAGAAGTTGGCTGAAAAAGAGAATCATATTATCATTTTACTGTTATCATCAACTGGTGATGTAGTTAACAGTTCTCAAAGTACAAACATAAGAAACTTCAAAGATTTTTAGTTTGTACATGTTTCCATGAATGGCTTGATAGGATCTGTCAAATTCATGAAGTAATTTAAATTGTTATATCAATATCAACAAATATTTGAATCAGATTTGTCCATTGGTTTACAGTTTGATAGAACATTTTGCCAGAACTACTTTAGTAACTATCACATTGATATACTAGCTATACACATGCAAAAGATCTATGGATTCCAAATTAATCCAGATAAAAAACAAAAAAATAATATATGCTTTATTATTTCTATTCTAATGCATTACAAAAAGAAACTAGAGGCTCTAAAGAGCATGTGTCGCTCACCTGCATCTTCAACAATGACCCTTTTATGTAAAAAAATCCATTCGGGAAAATTCACGATTTTTTACTTAACATCTTATTATGTTCATAATAACATAAAAAACATATTCACCAAGTTTTATCTGGATATGAACTCTAATATTAATAAAGAAGAAAATTTGAATTTTTTGTTTTATTTATTCCAACTTCCTGTCTACTGTGACATACTTTTAGACTTATTGCAAACCGGGAGTGGATTTAATCTCATTTTAAGTCTTGTTCGTTCATCATCTAATAACGTGACTTAAAGGGCCTAGATGACTATTTGGCATAGTTATTAATCAACTAATAATCAAGAAAGTAAAGTAAACTTTCTAATGTTCTAAATTAAAATGTACGATTTATATTTAATAGATTTCAGATATGAATATAGTAATACAAGTAAATCATACAATAAACTATTTTTGTTATTTAAAATATCAAATAATGAAGAAAAAAAGTTATAAAAAATAAATTGAAAAAAAAAATTAATAATAATTCAAGAAAACCCTCTATATTTGTGTATAATACCCATCTCCTCTACTAACTGCTTTTTGGGGATAAAAAAGTGTGTGTTATAATACACACCTCAAGACGGTTCTCTTAACCAGAGACATATATACACATGCAGAAGTGTGAATGTCATAAAACCTTGTTATATCACAAACCATTATAAATGTGAACCTGTATACGTAAGACCTCATGGGAGGTCACCTAACCACATACAAGTAATATACAAGTAGCTATGTAATACCCTGAAATGTCAAGGTAAATCACGACCAATATAGAATGTACCAATGCAAAGAAATTCTGATGATTGTACAGCATGACCATTCATGATTTTAGAGGACTCTTTGGTGGGGGAACAATTTAAATTCTGACTTGATATTTTTTTTCTCAATTTAAATCACTAAACTAAACTATAGGCTCTCAAGAGCCTGTATCGCTCACATGACTCGATCTACTTTGGTTTTTGAAATCATATAAAAAAAGATAAAATTCATAACAGATACTTATAAATTTGGTTTAATATTGGCCCCATAATTTAATAGTAAATCCTGGTGGCCATCTTGAACAGTAAATCAGCAACTAAGTAGCAACACTTCATCAGCACCTCATAATGAACATTTATGACATGTTTAGTTTCATTCCATGCAGTGGTTCTCTAAAAGAAGACATTTGTACGTATTTCCAATAGGGTCCTACACTATGTCCCTCACTGGCAGCCATCCTGGATGATGGATCGCCTACAAAGTAACAACACTTGGTCATAACCTCATAAGGAACATTCATGCTTTGTTTGGTTTCTCTCCATTCAGTGGTTCTCTAAAAGAAGACATTTGTATGTATCCAGGGGTTTTTCTGGGTATTTTGGGAAAAAGGACCCTGGCCAGTTTTGGGAATTTTTTCACGCGCTTTTCAATGAAATTGGGAAAACAGCAAATATACCAGATTTGAGTTTTAGTGTGTTTAGTTCATTAAAAGTTATCTTTTATTGTGAAAATAAAGTAAGAAACTTCCAGAATTTTACTGGCCTTTCAAAATTGAGAAGAAATTACCTGTTGGAATTGTAGTTATATGTTTACACTGTAAAAACATATACATGTAATATCAACATTTATTAATGATTAGAAAAATTACTGTCACATTTATATGATTTAATTGGATTTTGACATGAAAATTTGTGAACTAAAAGTAATTTTGAGGTTCTGTATAAAATATTTCCTGATTTTTCTCTTTTTTTTCCATATATCTTTTGGTTTTCAATTCTAGTGTTTATATTTCATCATCAACATGTATTTTGTCACCTGCTTGGAATTATTATTTTTTTATTGTATTTGATCGGCAAACCCGGAATTACCCTTATCCGCCCGCGGAATCTGACCCCATATTGTAATTGTCTTCATTTCCGGTTTATGACATCCATTTTTCAATGTTGTTTTTGTCAGTCAGGTAGGATTTTACTTGGATTTACACATTATTTGTTGGCGATTTTCGGCATAAAGCTAGCGGTTGGCTGTCATGAATAATAAAGATGAAAATAAATTTTAAGATCGTTTGGGAATTTTGCTCCCAAAATTGGGAAAAATGTAGGGTATTTGCCATTGGGAATGGGTCCGAATATCGGACCCTGTGGAATGCTAGAAAAATCCATGGTATCTCCCATAGGGTCCTATGTTAAACTAAGTCCCCTGCTGGCAGCCATCTTGGATGATGGATCGCCTACAAAGTAACAACACTTGGTCAGCACCTCATAAGGAACATTCATGCTTTGTTTGGTTTCTCTCCATTAAGTGGTTCTCTAAAAGAAGACATTTGTATGTATTTCCCATAGGGTCCTATGTTAAACTAAGTCCTCCGCTGGCAGCCATCTTGGATGATGGATTGGCTACAAAGTAATAACACTTGGTCAGCACCTCATAAGGAACATTCATGCCGTGTTTAGTTCCATTCCATTCACTGGTTTTCTAGAAGAAGTCCAAAATGTAAAAAGTTAACGACGACAACAACGACGGACGACGACGATAGATGACGATGATGGACTATGGACGCCAAGTAATGAGAATAGCTCAACTGGCCCAAAGGGGCTCCAAGGAGCCTGTGTCTCTCACCTGATATTTTTGTTTACAATTGGTGTATGAAATATATATTATAATAATTTTATAACTGTTATACTTTTGCTTTAGTTTCAGATATAATTTTTATGCCAAAAACTTCATTTTACCCCTATGTTCTATTTCTAGCCATGGCGGCCATCTTGGTTGGCAGGCGGGACCATCAGCCACATTTTCTTAAACTAGATACCCAGATGATGATTGTGGATAAGTTTGGTTAAATTTGTTTCATCAGTTTCAGGAAAAGATTTTTGTAAAAGATTACAACAATTTACGAAAAATTGTTAAAAATTGACTCTTAAGGGCAACAACTCCTTAAGGGGTTGATTGACAAGTTTTGTCATGTTGACTTACTTGTAGATCTTACTTTGCTGAACATTATTGCTGTTTGCAGTTTATCTCTATCTATAATAATATTCAAAATAATAACAAAAAACTGCAAAATTTCCTAAAAATTACCTAATCTGGGGCAGCAACCCAACAACAGGTTGTCTGATTCGTCTGACAATTTCAGGGCAGATAGATATTCACCTGCTTAATATTTGTATCTGTCAGATTTGCTCTAAATACTTTAGTTTTAGAGCACTTTATAGGGGTGATAGGACTCTTGCTAGGTAGGGGGAAATGGACTCTGGACCTTATACAAGGTAAATATAAGCATACCTGCCAACCTCTGAAACCTTCAAAGAGGGAGATCTCCCTCTCAGCTATGACAGCTGAGGGGGAGATTTTGCGTGAACAACATTTCAGGTGAAATATATGACGTGTTTATTTATTCATCTACGAAACACATATAAGAGTTAATAGATATACTTTGTTTCTTTAAATATGGTTATATCCTACAGAAGGTGTGTTGTTTGTTTCTTTCCTTTTTCATCAATTTTGACATTTGAATCCCTTCCGGACAATTTTCACCCCAGATACCTCTGTTATAAGAGAGCAATCATGTTGTTACAGATGCATTTTGTGTGTGTTCATATTTATATCACTAAATGCAATACATATCTTATAAATTTCAATATAAACATTGAATAGAAGTACAGATCTTTTAAGTGATTTTTAAAATATATTTATTTTTTTTGTCTTAAGGCATACAAAATCTTTTAATTGCCATCCTTTTATGATTCTTTGTTTAATTTGTATTTAGTTTATATTGTTTTATCAATTCACATTATTTTAAGAAGGGTAACTTAAAACAGGATTAAACAGGGGAAGTAACCCGAAATTTCTTTGAAGTGTTTTGCTTGAAGCAAAAGTCGTTAATGATCGTTAATTAGTACTATGTTTGACACCCAAGCTGTGAAGTGAAGCCATTTAATTTCACATGGTCTGTGATTTACAGGTAAAAACAACCCTCATCAGTGAGACAAAAACGTAAATAATTTTGACTTGTCATTCAAGGTTAGAATATCCCAAAGCGGGAGATTCTATACTCCCGCCCGGGAGGATACCGGCAAGCGGGAGATTTCCTGAATTTCGCCATTTGAGCGGGAGTCTCCCGCTCAAAAAGGGAGGGTTGGCAGGTATGATATAAGGGAATAATTTAGAGGTAAATATGTTATGATTAAAACATAAAACTTATCAATTACATGCTCATATTAATTTACAGAACATGGTTTTATTACTTTTTGATGACAGTTGTTGGCTTATCAGAAAGCTTTCAGTTTTCAGTTTTCTCTATCTTCTCACTTGATGTTGTCTCATATACATACCTACACAATTTTCTTATTTCCTTTTAAATTTGTTCTATAAAGCATGCAAACTTACATGCTGGTGACACTGCTCTCAAAGGAATCCATGGTAACATTTTCAAAAGAATATCCCTGGATCTTGCTGCAATAATAAACAAATGCAAATGTTGATTCAAGTGACTTAAACCTCCTGATATCTTTCATTAATATATACATACATGTACAGGACTCAATCTTCAGTGCACATTTCTTATATTCTACCCAAAAGATGGGTAGCCTGGTTTTACGCTAGAACATGCAAACACTGACATGAAGCAGAAATTTGGACCACAAGCTTAAGGTCAGTCAAAACAAATGGCTGGAAACAATTCCCCATCAAGCAATATTCTATGTTATAGAGGAGGAGGTCATGTAAAGGATAATTTTGGCCTTAAATTTAAAGTACATCTGATGAAAGATTTTTGACATCTTTTAAACACTTTAATGTCTTCTACAGTCAATTCAATTAGTTGATGTAATAGATTAAAACTGATTTCACCATTGCAGATGCTCACATTTAAGCTTAGACATGAAAAATATATCAAATATGTCATAAAACGTCACTTTTCAGATGGTTTTTGGCCACATTCTTGTTTAGTCTCAACCTTCAATATATATCTATACTATAAATTTGGCGACCAAAATTTTTTAGCCAGTTTGACTTTGTGAAGTATTAATAACAATAAATAGTTAGTAAAATTAAAACTGAGAATGGAAATGGGGAATGTGTCAAAGAGACAACAACCTGATCATAGAGCAGACAACAGCCCAAGGCCACCAATGGGTCTTAAATGCAGCGAGAAACTCCTGCACGCAGAGGCGTCCTTCAGCTGGCCCCTAAACAAATAGTTCAGTGATAATGGACGTCATACTAAACTCCGAAATATAAACAAGAAACTAAAATTAAAAATCATACAAGACTAACAAAGGCCAGAGGCTCCTGACTTGGGACAGGAGCAAAAATGATGCGGGGTTAAACATATTTTTTGAGATCTCAACCCTCCACCTATACCTCTTGCCAATGTAGAAAAACAAATGCACAACAATACATACAGTAAAACTCAGTTTAAGAGAAGTCCGAGTCAGATGTCAGAATAGGAAACAAACGAAAATAAACAAAATGAAAATAATACATAAATAACAACAGACTACTAGCAGTTACTGACATGCCAGCTCCAGACCTCAATTAAACTGATTGAAAGATTATGTCTTCATCATACACTACAAACCAGTAAAAGTCTGAAATGGCCTATATTTGTACTCGACTGTACTGATTTTTACTCGACCAGTCTGAATTGGTCTGAAATTTACTTGATTATACTCGACTGTAGTCTGAACCATACTTAACAGTCTGAACTTGTACTTGACCACACTTGACCAGTACTTAACCATTTTATTTGCGTCTGAGCCATGCTCGACCTAGTCTGAACCATACTCGACCTAGTCTAACCATACTCGACCTAGTCTGAACCATACTCGACCTAGTCTGAACCATACTCGACCAAGTCTTAACCAACCTAGACATATTTTTTGTATCCATCTATTGTATTTCATCAATTTAGGAACTGTTTTTAACAGCTATTTCCCCTGGCTAGAAATTTGAACAACAATTTGAAATTTAAAATGTATTCAATATGGCATTGAAACCAAAATTTCACAATAAACATAATATAAATTCAACACCATATTCATCAACACTTACATATATATATATATCACCTTTAAAATAAAAATAAAACAAGCTGATCCAATAGTCTCAAAACTGAATTGTGACTAATATTTTCAATGTTATTCAAAATTTTTTGAATGTTTCAGATATATTTTATGGTTACTGGACAATTTTCACCATTTACTTAAGCCTTGTATAGATTTATGGTGTCAGTTGAGTTTAGTTAATAATGCAGTGAACATTTTTTTTATTAAAATATATTTAGAATAGTATATAAAGCAACTTAATAAATTTAAAAGATCACAACTTTGTTTTGTAAAACCAAGAATTTAATATAATCATGATAATAGAACTTCCGTAGCAATCCTTGATCACCATTTAAAAAAGGAAATATGTTCCAAAGTTGCAGAAAAAATTTATTTCAATTAAATTTAAATAAATTTTGTCAAAATTAAAGACATGGCATACAAGAAGAACTTTAATAAGGTTTAATTACCTCAGTACATGTGTGTTTTACAGGTAAAAAGAAAGCCCTATTTTTCTTAAACTCGTGTATTACTTATCTAGTGAATTCAAAAGGCCTTGCGATATAAGTTTTACAGGATGTTGCAATTTTTACTGAATGTTAATTAGAAATTAATTCTCTCTGACTAGGTGTGATCTTTTTAATGAGTTTGCCCCAAGCAGGAGGTATTACTTTATACTTTACCACTATTCAGAAATTTGTTTTTATTTATTTCTTTAACTTTTTTATCCCTTTTTGATATATATTATATATAATATATCCCAAATTATAATAAGAATAGATATATTTCTAATATAAGGTTAAACAATTTCAGTGATTTTTTGGCTGTTGTTAACTCATTAAAAAGATAATTATATAACTATTGTATGTAACCATAAAACCTATGTAGTTTTTCTTTAGGAATTTAGGAAAATTAAGTTTAAAAAAAAAAAACACATGCCAACCAAGAAGCACCTTAATAAGGTTTTATTACCCTCAGTAAAGGTGTGGTTTTTAGGTAAAAGAATCTTTTTTTTAACAAAACTCTAAAACTTAAAATTAATATAATTAAATTATTATATAAGATAATTTGATTTAACTATCTCTATTTGATAAATCTGAGAATCATGTAAGGATGTAAAAATATGTTTTTATATATATCTTTATTTTATTGTGGCTGTTATCATGTCAGAAAAAAAGAAATTAATTTTAACAGCTAAAATTAAAAAAAGTAGTGGTTATTTGGTCAAGTATGGTTCAGACTGGTCCAGTATTGTTCAGACCTTTGGTCGAGTATGGTTTAGACTGAAAAAATAGGTCGAGTACAGGTCGAGAATGGGTTAAGACTGTTTCAGACTGGTCGAGTAATAGTTCAGACTATTTTCAATGGCAAAGATAAGGGTCAAGTACAAATCAGTACGGTCGAGTATGGTTAAGACTGGGGTCGAGTAATGTCGAGTAAAATTCAGACCAATTCAGACTGGTCGAGTAAAAACCAGTACAGTCTAGTACAGATATAGGCCATTTCAGACTTTTACTGGTTTGTAGTGATATGAATATCATCACAATCCTCCTGTTAGGGATTTAGTATTATACCGTCATAAAATATATGTGAAGAACATAACCCGTGTCATGCCAACAACTGGTTTTTTAATGAATGTGTTTAATTCAGATGCAAAGACCCTATAAGTGAATCAATATTAAAGCCAAAATATGCAATCTTTAATGACCTGACAACAGTATCGTAACTATATCCCTTCTTAATTAGTCTGTTTAAAGGTTTTCTAAGCTTTTGAGGTGAATACTGACATTTTTGTGCTTTGTAAAGAATATTACCATAAAAGATTGGATGTGAAATACCTGAACGTATAAGATGTCTGCATGTTGAGTTATATTTATGAATGATGTCCTTATACTGATGATAAAATTTAGTAAATGTTTTGACTAGTTTGTGATATCGAAAACCCTGGTGTAATAATTTTTCAGTAATACATAAATTTCTCTCGCTAAAATCTAATATGTTGTTACATACACGAGCCAATCGTACAAGTTGATCCAGATATATAAAAACCATAAGATGACTAAGTGTATGTAATGTACTTTATAACTTAATATAGGAATTGCTTTAATTAAAATAGCTTAGTTAATAATATATATAAACCCCAAATAAAGTCCCATAGCCATGATAGCTGGTTCCTTACCGTTTATGTTTTGTAAGCAGGGGGAAATGGTTTTCTGTTCAATTTGTCATGAATTTATGACAACTCAGTCCTAGGCCAACTCACACCACTCAAACACTCTCACTAATTATTACTTTATCAAACTGAAGGAAAAAAAATATAACAAATTCGAAGAAATTATTAGATTGTTTTCTCCTTCTCTTAGCTATGGCTAGACTATAGTAAAGTCCACCTTTCTAGGAGCAGCTGTGTCACACAGAGACTGAACTCTCACTACTTGAAAAAAAAAAAACTACAAACTCGCACCACTGAAGATATGTTTTAATTCATCAGAGTGTTCTAAATTGTCTTCTCTTACTTATTTCCTCCTTCTTTGAGCACCCATAACATTCAAGAGACAGAACTTTACTTGCACCTTTCGAGAAAGAAAAAATATACTACAAACTAGCACCACTGAGAAGTGTTTTAATCATCTGTGTTTAAGATTGTCTTATTCTTCTCTAAGCTATTTCCTCCATTCTAGGAGAACCTGATTAACACCTAGACAGAAGCTACTAATTGGACATTCAAACTCCTATGGAAGAAGAACTGACAAACTACTATGAATTTTATCAAAACTATCAACATATTGCATCAGTGCATAAAAACAGTGTTTGAGAAACACAAACCAAGCTGTGTATCAGCATAAACATTTTAAGTAGTCTTCAAGCTTTATGTGTGTGCATTGTATTGTCAAAATCAGCCCATATTTATGTAACAAATGTATTCTTCTTTCCAGTTAATAGCTTAAGTTTACTTTAAATTTATAACAAATTTGTAATAAAATGCTTAGCTGGGCGCAGCTTGATACCACCGCAGAGGTCGAACCCTGAACAGTTGTGGCAAGTATGGACACAACATTCAAGCTTGATACAGCTCTGAATTTGGATTGTGATTAAATATTTGACACAGCATAGGTTTCTGACACAGAAAGAATGTGGTCTAAGAACTTGAATTTTTTTAATTTACCTATTATGGTCCAATGTCCAAAATCAAAATACATGGTTAGATTCAGCATATCAAAGAACCCCATATATTCAATTTTTGTTGAAATCAAACAAAGTTTAATTTTGGACCCCAACTTGGACAAACTTGAAAACTGGGCCCATAATCAAAAATCTAAACACATGTTTAGATTCAGCATATCAAAGAACCCCAAGAATTCAATTTTTGTTAAAATCAAACTAAGTTTAATTTTGGACCCTTTGGACCTTAATGTAGACCAATTTAAAAAAACGGGACCCAAAATTAAAAATCTAAAAACACGGTTAGATTTGGCATATCAAAGAACCCCAATAATTAAATTTTTGATGAAATCAAACAAAAGTTTAATTTTGGACCCTTTTGACCTCAATATGAACCAATTTGATAGCGGGGCCCACAAATAAAAAATCTAAATACATGGTTAAGATTCAGCATATCAAAGAACCCCATATATTCAATTTATGTTGAAATCAAACATAGTTTAATTTTGGACCCCAATTTGGACCAACTTAAAAACTGGGCCAAAAATCGAAAATCTAAATACATGTTTAGATTCAGCATATCAAAGAACCCCATATATTCAATTTTTTGTTGAAATCAAACATAGTTTAATTTTGGACCCCAACTTGGACCAACTTGAAAACTGGGCCCATAATCAAAAATCTAAACACATGTTTAGATTCAGCATATCAAAGAACCCCAAGAATTCAATTTTTGTTAAAATCAAACTAAGTTTAATTTTGGACCCTTTGGACCTTAATGTAGACCAATTTAAAAAAACGGGACCCAAAATTAAAAATCTAAAAACACGGTTAGATTTGGCATATCAAAGAACCCCAATAATTCAATTTTTGATGAAATCAAACAAAAGTTTAATTTTGGACCCTTTTGACCTCAATATGAACCAATTTGATAGCGGGGCCCACAAATAAAAAATCTAAATACATGGTTAAGATTCAGCATATCAAAGAACCCCATATATTCAATTTTTGTTGAAATCAAACAAAGTTTAATTTTGGACCCCAATTTGGACCAACTTGAACTGGGCCAAAAATCAAAAACCTAAATACATGTTTAGATTCAGCATATCAAAAAAACCCATATATTCAATTTATGTTAAAATCAAACGAAGTTAAATTTTGGACCCTTTGGACAAAAAATCTAAATACACGGTTAGATTCGGCATAACAAATAAATAAATGTGGTCAAAGATTTTACAAATCTAATGCGCCATACTGTGCAATTAAAGATTACTTCTTGAAATTTTTCAATATTTGAAATTTGAAAAAAAAATAATATTTGAAAAATTTAATTTCTGAAATCTGAAATGAGAAAAAATTGACCCCCCACAATTTCTTTTTACCCCCCCCCCCCCCTTTTTCCCCCAAAAAATTCTTTCCCTCAAGATATGGTCATAATCTCAATTCAAATTTCCAATGGAGTTTGCAACCATAATTACCCATTTAAATTTACCATAGTGCTAACTTAATCTATTTTAAAATAGAATTTAAAATATAGTGTCAAATCTTTCATATGGATTTTTTTGTAAAAAAAAAAGATGCAACATTTGCAGATATTTTTACTGGTCTTCCTTTATAAATATGCATTTCTTTAAACATAATTTAAAAGCAGTGTAAGGGAAGTAACCAAAACGTTGTATTTGGATTACCTCCCTTACACTGTTTTAAATTATCTTAATTGTTCATTAACCATTACTTTATACATAATTTAAAAGCAGTGTAAGGGAGGTAATTTCAATGATGTATTTGATTTATCTCCCTTACACTGCTTTAAATTATGTTTTGTACTAAAGTATTTGTCCATTAACCAGGACAACCCTGTTTTTCCCCCTTTTTTGCTCCTAATTCCTAAACTGTTTGAGCCATAACCCCCCAAAGCAAATCCTAACCATCCCTTTGTGGTATGGAAACTTGTAGTATAATTTCAGAGAGATCCATACACCGTTCCACAGTTATTGTCTGGAAACTAGAAAATGCTTATTTTTGGCCCCTAATTCCTTAACTGTTGGTACCATAACCCCCAAAATCAATCCCAACCTTCCTTTTGTGGTATTTATCCTTATGGTAAAATTTCAAAGAGATCCATTCACTTAAACTAAAGTTAGAGTGCGAAAACCAATGTGTCTTCGGACGACGACTACGAATACGACGACGCCAACGTCATACCAATATACGACCTCAAAAATTTCTTGCGATCTTATAAAAATGCTATATTTTGGGGCCAAAGGGGTCTTACAAGGGCCTACTCCTTTGCTCATGTAAATGTTCACATAGGTCCAGTCTTCAACAGCCTGTGACAAAGTAATTCTAATCTTTACACCAAATATTAAGTAACTTACAGAGTATATCCAGAACAACATGTGACAATGTAATTGTAACACACAAACAAACAACAACCACTGAATTACAGGCTCTTGGCTTGGGACAGGCACATACATACAGAATGTGGCAGGGTTAAACATGTTTATGTTTACATCACAAAGTTAGTTACTTACACTGTGGGTCCAGAACAGCCTGTGACAATGTTATCTTTCTCGTTACAGTTACACCCACCACTGCATATCTTATTACCGTATGTAGATGGTTTGAAGAAGTAGTTATCTTTGATATCAGGTGAATTATCTGACCATAAACCTTCAAACATGCTGGAACCAGCTGTAAAAAAATATTTAAAGAGATTTAGAGATGACAGTAAATTTCACAACTGGGTGCTAAAATAAAAACTGGAATTTTAGAGTTGCATGAAAATGGTACAAAGATATATATAAGAAGATGTGGTAGAGCCTGAATCGCTCACCTGTTTTTTTTTTTGCTTAAATCTTTCAATAATGATTATTTTTGCTTTTCAATATATATTAATGAGTGGCTTAAAAATGCAATTTAATTTTTCTTTGCATCTGTCATATTTTCTCCTAAAGCAAGAAAATGCATGTTACCCCTATGTTCCATTTTAGCCATAGTGACTTTGTTTCTTGATGTACTATTACAGGAAAATTAAATACAAAATTCATACTAGATACTCTGAAAATCATTCAGCCCATTAGTTTGGGTGAAATTGATAAAGCAGTTTTAAAGGAGAAGATTTTTTAAAGTACCTAAGCAAACATAGCAAAGTAAGATGAACAAATTCTGAAAAATTGTTTTCAGAGGACAATATCTCCTTAGGGGTCAATTGACAATTTCGGTCATAAAAACTTACTTTGCTGAACACTTTTGCTGTTAACAGTTTACCTTTATCTATAATAACAAGCATTCTATGAGTATTGCATGGCAATACATAGTCCCCTACCAGTTAAAAATTGTAATGGAACAAAATTTTGACTTGATCTATAACTTTTCATGGTTTAAACTACATAAAATAACAAACAATCCTAAATGTCTTTTACAAATCTCAAGCTTAAGTTTGGTTTAATTTGGATCAGTAGTTTCAGAGGAGAAGATTTTTTAAAGTAAGAAAACATGATTAACAAATTGTGTAAAATTGTTTCTTTAAAAGGGCAATAAATCCTTAAGGGGTCAATAGACAATTTTAGTAATATAAAACTTATTTGTAGATCTTACTTTGCTGAACAATTTTGCTGTTTACATTTTATCTTTATCAATGATAATATTCAAGATAATAACCAATAAGCACAGCCTGATACAACTGCAGAGGTTGAACCCTGAACAGTTTGGGCAAGTTTGGACACAGTATTCAAGCTTGATACTAACTGAATTTGGACAGTGATCAAATTTTTGACATAATATATGCTTCTGACACAAAATAAATGTGGTCAAAGATCTAAAAATCTATTGAGCACTACTGTTCAATTGAAGATTTTTCTAAAAATTTGAAATTTAAAAAATTTTGAAGAAAAAAAAATATGAACCCACCCCTAAAAAAATTGGAAGCCCCTATCTTTTTGACCCCTCTTGGAATAATTACCCCCAAACTTAATCACAGCCTTCCCTTTGAGGTATGGAACCTTGTAGTACAATTTTAGAGAGATCCATACACTTAAAATTCTCCGAAACTGACATTATCAAAATGCTTGATTTCTTGATTGACAACATATTTGTTATGTTTGGAGGACGTGTTTTTCAACAGACTATCACCCTTTCCTATAGGAACCAAATGTGCCCCTCTTCCTGCCTACTTGTTCTTTTATTCTTATGAGGCTGACTTCATACAGGAATTTCTTAGGAAGAAACAAAGAAGTTAGCAATATCCTTTAACTTTATTTTCCGCTATATAAATGATGTTCTCTCACTAAATAATTCAAAATTTGGTGACTATTGAATGCATCTAATTATCCCATCAAACTAGTGATAAAGGATACAACAGATACAGGTAAGTCTGCCTCATATCTTGACTTACATTCTAGAAATAGACAATGTGGGTCAGTTGAAAACTAAACTTTACGACAAAAGAGATGATTTGAGCTTCCCAATTATGAACTTTCTATTTTTATGTAGCAACATTCCAGCAGTGCCTGCATATGGAGTATATATCTCCCAATTGATACGATATTCCAGGGCTTGTATTTCCTATCATGATCTCCTTTATAAAGGGTTGCTGCTCACTAGGAAGCTATTAAACCAAGAATTCTAAATGGTGAAGTTTAAATCATGCCTTCGTAAATTTTACAGACGCCATCACAAGTTGGTTAACCGTTATGGAATATCCGTTTCACAGACGATATCAGATATGTTCCTTATGTCTAACTACAATGCGTTTCCCTTTTCACAAATGTTACCTACCAAATTAGACTATTTACCAGGTTTGTAATAACATGAGCAACACCACAGGTGCCATATGTGGAGCAGGATCTGCCTACCCTTCCGGAGCACCTGAGATCACCCCCCGTTTTTGGTGGCATTCGTGTTGCTTAGTCTTTAGTTTTCTATGTTGTGTCACTTGTACTATTATTTGTCTGTTTGTCTTTTTTCTTTTTTGGCCATGGCTTTGTCAGTTTATTTTTGATCTATGAGTTTGAATGTCCCTTTCAGGCATGGGGCGAATTACATTGCAATGTAATGCATTATAGTACAATTACTTTGACCAAACCATGCATTATATTACAATTACAATTACATGCATTTATCAAAGTAATGCATTATATTACAATTACTTTTGCAAAGTAATGCCTTGAATTACACATTACATTTGAAAATTTTATTAGTGAATAGAAAAATTAAACATTTTGAAAAACAACTAGAAGTCACAAAAGATTCTAGCATATACAGTAACTGTTCCATGAATTGAATATAAGTATACATGTAAAAAGTCTATTTAATTTGACTTTTACAATTTTTAATTATTTTAACTTAATGTTGACTTTACTTTTATAAATATATTTTATTTTTAAATATTGTACTTATATGTAATATAAGTACTGTTTATACAAACAGCCTTTCCAGCTTACACTTAATAATTAATGTGATAATAAAGATGCTGACATTCTGGATACATTTAATTAACATATACAGACCACTTGTTATATCTTGAGGTTAATTTCCCTGGCATTTGACACTTTGAAGTTACAACTGGAATCTCACTAGGAGGCCCTATAATCTTTTCTTAATCAGATACATGTCATAAATAGTCACTGTTGGTGAGGAAATGCAGATAATGATACCAGATCTTATAAAAATTAATTAATTATCTTTTATTTAAGCTAAACAAAGATATTCTTTGATCTTATGACAACAATACAGCTATGCTTTTCAAATATCAATCTTTTTATGCAGGAAAATGTATGAAATAAGATGAAATAAAGAATATATTCTAATGATTAACATATTCTTAGTTAATCAAGAAATCTTAAATTTGGTTTAGTTAAAACTCCAACAAATTTTTTTAAAGATGTAGTATGTGAAAAAAGTAATGACATGTAATGTCATGTAATGCATGAAATTACACAACTTTTTGCTAAAGTAATGCATTATATTACAATTACATGTAATGCACAAATTGCTGCATTACACATTACATGCAATTACTTGGAAAAAATTACAAATTTGCATTACCCCGTGCCTGGTCCCTTTGGTATCTTTCGCCCCTCTTTTTTAGACCCAATTTATTGTTTAGAAACTTTAAAAATGCTTGTTTTTTGCCCCTCATTCCTGCATTCCCAGGTTTCCCTTTGTATATGGAACCTTATGGTACAATTTCAGAGAGATCCATACACTTACACACAAGTTATTGTCTGGAAACTACAAAAATGCATGTTTTGGTCCCTTTTTTGCCCATTAATTCCTAAACTGTTTGTACCATAACCACAAAAATCAAACCCAACCTTCCTTTTTGTGGTATTGAATCTCCTTGTAAAATTTCATAGAGATCCATTCACTTAAACTAATGTAATTGTCTGGAAACCAAATGCAGACCCAGATGACGACGCCGACACCAACATCATATAGCATTGTACAACATTTTATTTGCGTCGTATAAAAACTGCAAAATTTCCTTAAAATTACCAATTTAGTGGCAGCAACTTACAACCCATTTTAAATTCATCTGAAAATTTCAGGGCTGATAGAACTTGAAGCTAGATTCACAGTATACCACTGTTTTGGATTGTTCAATAGCAGTACACATTTGCTCTAATTCTTTGCCTAAATCTGCAAATTTTGAGACAGATTTACATTTATCATGTGCAATAAAAATAAGATGAAAGTATGGCCTTCAACACAGAGCCTTGTCTCACACTAAATAGCAAGCTATAAAGGGCCCCCAAAATGACTAGTGTAAAACAATTCAAACAGGAAAACCAAAAGTTTAATTTATATAAAAAACTAGAAACGAAAAATACTTGTGAACCACTTCAATAAAGGACAAACACTGAACAACAAGTTCCTGAACATGCTGACTTGGGACAGGTGCAAACAAATACAAACAAATGCAGTAGGTTTAAATGGTTCTTTTAACCTTAGACTAAAATTGAGAATGGAAATGGGGAATGTGTCAAAGAAGGCCACCAATGGGTCTTTAAAATTTACATGATTTGATGCAGTGAGAAATCCTGCACCTGACCTGTTTCTAATATAAAAATAAGTGATTTATTGCATTTATCCAATATTTTTACACAAATACTCAAATGTATGTTTTTTAGAATCAATTTTTCAACTTAAGAGTGGGGTGCTCATTTTTGCCATAGTTTTCCATGTTTTCTGCAGTTTATGTTCAGGTCTTTATGTTTTTGAAGTATACTGGTATTTCTATATGAAGATACATTTTGTAACATCAAAAGCAAAATATTCTTAGCTTAAAAACGTGTTTCTTTGGAAAAAAAACATCTGAAAAGTTAGATTAAAGGCTTTTTGAAATTTCCTGAAGTTTTGTCAAAGGGGGACACATATTCGCCGTTTTTACACATCTATTTAAAACCAAATAACTGCAGCTTTAAACAATATTTATCAAATTAATCAATGTCATGGCCCGAGAACACAGTTATTTCGTAGTGCATTTCTTTTAGACAATAAATTCAAATTAAAAAAATCGCACCTGCTCTATCTCAAAAAGATTTTTACAGTGTAGTGAACTACTATTGATACAAATAATATCAAAATTATAGAAACTTCTACCAGCTCTAACTGAAAATATTGACAATTCTGTGTTAAGGAGGGCTAAAATTCAGTTTGACAGCTTCAGACATTCTAATTTTTTA